GTGTGTGAGTGTGAGTGTGTGCACGTCTGAGGAAGAAGGTTCATCAAATACTATTGAAGTTGTCAAAGGCCCAAGGGCGCACGATGGCCGTCAGGGCGCTCGCAGGTGGGCGCTCGGGGCAGAGGGCACGAGAGTGCACAACGGCCACAGGGTCGCTCGCAGGTGGGGCGCTCAAGGTGGAGGGTCTGATGTCACGTGATGACAGAGGGGCGCTCGGGGTGGAGGTCTTGAGACCACGCGATGGCCATTAAGTCGCTCGCAGGTGGGTCGTCGAGGAAGAAGGGTTGAAACATGTGGTTCGCTTGGGAGTCAAAGTAGAGGTGGCAGATGGTGGTGGTTTGCAGGGCGCTCGGGGCGATGGCAGAGCTTGCCTCTTCCATAGGTGGGGCAAGGGTAGAGGTTTCGTTGGTGAGGAAGAAGGGGTTACCGAGTCCAACACGTGAACTTCGTATCCGACAAATTTAAAAATAAAAATAAAAAAACACGTGTCCAGACTCAAGCCACCATGTCCGTGCTTCCCAGCCTGAAGTGACCCTTAGAATTTTGTTATTATTTAGGCAGGGAATAAGTCAACTTAAGATTAATGAATTGTGAGCTCAGTGTGTAATATTGTTGACATGTTCATCCAGCGTGCAATTCTGCATTATTTTTTATAACTTATATGTGTAATTAGCTGGCCTTTTTATTTTGGATAATGAAATGACAGAATGCTTTTATTACGGTTTTTCGTGTTGAACTTTTTAACTTTGCCTAGAAATCCCAGAGAGCTGTCTTACCTTTTGTCTTCATTGACAAAAAATATGTAGGTAGGAAGACCAGAAAGGTGTATGTTTGGGTTTTTTATTGAAAAGAAAAGAGAGTTGTTAATTAAAGCATGCACTAAGCAGTAAAATCTTTGTGTCTTTGCTTCATGAAAGTTAGCACATGTAAAAAGGTGCACAGGTTGCATTAGTGAGCACTATTACTAGCTTGAAAATTGATATACTTTTTGTCAAGATTTATGTTTAGCTATTTATTTACACTACAATAATTGCTAGCTAATTTTTGTTCCAAACGTTTGCAGGCGGGTGGTTTCAGTGTCGACATGTAGTAAGATCTGTGCAATCAGCTTTGTCGTCGGTGTCTTTGTTGGTTTCACGCTGAAGAGACGGGTGAGGCGTTGGGCAAGCAAACTGCTCAAGCGGTTGAAGGATGATTAAGCTGTAAACGACGACACTAATAATTTTCATGTATGCATTCGGTAGCAAATTTTGACATTTCTAATGTCCACATTATAGAGCCTGTTGTTCAATTTTTTGGATGCTTATATTTGCTGTCCAGTGTTTCTATCAAGTTTTATTGACATAGGCTCAAAGTTGATCGACTTCTTTGATGACATAGCCCAAAGCGTGCACACAAGTTGCGTTGCTGGATGAGGAATTGAAGGAATTTTATTAGGTAAACACAGTAAAGCAAAGGCAATTCAGAAATAAATTTGCAATTAAAAATATACTTATAAAAAATTACTAGAATTACTTTAATAGAGGTTAAAATGAAAAAAAAAAAATTACTATTATTATTTGTAATAGTGGTTGTGCATTTGAATTTTCTTTTCCCACTAGTGGTATTGTCCGTGCACAAAAGGAGAAATCTATCGAGCATTGCTCGAGTATTTTATTTATGTTGGGTACATCTATCCAATTCAATATTATTGGTATTCAATATTATTGCTACATCCGTTGGGTCTCGGCGCTTTATTTCTATCTTGTGATATATATAATATTCAATATTATTGGTATATATTAAACAATATTTGTAAATAATGAAAAAAAAACATGAATATAAATTAATCTGGTCAAGAAGGATTTGGAAATACTCTCACTGGCACCATTGGTTTCGGGCCACTTTATTCACAAAATAAGTCCATTTTGAATGAAACCTTTAATCGAGCCCATGCAATTTCAAATCTTTTATCACAAATAGAAACACGAAACAGAACCAACAAAAATAATGAAAACTTATAAAAGTTAAAAGCAGTAAACTTGGGTCTATCATTTGAACCAACTCTTATTTCAGGATTAAAGACACTATGTCAAGTTGCATAGTTAACATACCAAGCTAACTTCCATAAGAATTAACTCACGGAGGATAAAAGCCAGCTTCATCACCGAAAGCAGTGAAACGTCCATGACAAGTAGTTTACCTGAAACGAAAGGAAAGCGTGCTCTTAGTTTTACCTGACTTTAGTCAAAGAGAAATGTGCCTTGTGAAACATCAAATAAATGGAACATATAAGAGAGAGACCCTGTGTTATTGTCAAAGTATATTTATTATGTTTGAGCATTGTCAACTTGGCATATCCAAGAATAAAGACCAGGACCCAAACTTCCCAGGTACCAAAAAAAAACAAACACAGTAAGGAAATAAGAAATGCAGTTTTATTGATAGTTAAAAGTGACACATTCTAATGATAATGTCACCAATTTCACCTTGTTGAACAATTATATCTTGCTTCAATTGTATTAGCACGTTCATCCTATTAGGAGACGAGCAACAAAGGACTAGTTGACTAGCAGAGATGGAGATGAAGTATCACACCTAAACATCAAGTTTTCGATAAAATTGGCTGGTTCACATGATGCTATATAGCAGATGAACAAACTCGGGAAAAATCATAAAAATCTAGAGAATAAATCTCATACAAGTAAACTCACGCATAGAACTTATTAACCCCCCCAACCTACATGACACCATGTCCCATGAGAAAGAAGTACCATTACCTTATGAGTACCCAAAATGTATATTGTTGAAAATAGTTGCTTGAATGACCAAAATTATTCCTGTTCAACTATCTTATACAGCGAGACACTTAAAATTGTTGATATGGATTTCCTCGTTATGAACCAAATCAGTTTTGGCATAATGGAGCACATACACAGGGCTTTTTGTATAAGCCTACACTTAAGCATGGCATGTGTTGGTGCATATTCTACTAACTGAACAACATTATAAAGCTAGAATTGATTGCAAAATATTCTCCATGCTGAAGACATAGCCATCGCACAAGTCTGATGTAAACTCATTTTGAAAAATGTGCTTTATTATATGGAACTCTAAAGGCTTCTAGTTTCTTATACACTAAGAATAAAAATGACCCAGTGAGTATCGATTATCTGTTCCAATGGTTCCATATGACAACAAGATGCTATCTCATTATATTTCGCACAAGCAACCAATTTGTTGAATTAGGAAAGAGAAAACAGAAAATCAGCATACAGAGAGACAAACATAGGAGACTGCAAGATAACAAAGGTTACATTTAGATAATAATTTACAGAAAAGACAAGACAATCTTACTTTCCCTTCCTCTGGAAAATGCAGCCTTTGATATCATTTGGTCTTATAAGTGAAGAAACACTACAATTTTAACGCTGATTGTTCTATACTTTACAATTTCTTTCATGTTACACACAAAAAAATAAATTAGTATGTTTCTCTCCAATTTTATAGAAAGCCAAAATAACTCTCCGATGGAAGTAGATTACTCCTTGATTTTTTTCTAATTCATCCACTATTCTCTCCTATTTGTCATGCAAGATGAGAAAATCCTCTAATACAAGAGGAAAACAGATGAACTTTCAAAAGAGGAAGACACCAACTGTTATATTCAAGCTATAGTATACACACAAAAATGAAAATAGTCTAACAAGCCCTTTTGAACCAAATAAATGGTTATGTTTGCAAGCCATAACCCAATAAAATGGTAGACCAACAAGTCAATGTAATGCACTGAACATTTCTTTTTCAACTCAAGTTCATGTCCAATGAAATTACGTGTGTATTCTGAATTTAGAAATAAATACTTGAACCGAAGAACCAAAATACTACTATGAAGTTGAACAAAGATGCAGTGCTGAACAGAGTGGTGAAGCAAAAGAAGATTGTGATATGAATATTCAAAACCATTCTTGAAATATAAACTCTTCCTGAAGAGGAAATAAAAGAGTTACAATCTGGGGGCAACAAAAGGTGTTATACCACAAAACCAACCAACTATAAGCAAATGGGAAGGGAAAAAAAAACCAAACTGTAGGCATGGAACGACATTATCATATAGGCTGCAGCGGTCTTTGATGTAGGTATACATAATGCCATTATGTGGATCAACTTTTATTATCACTAGTAATTTACCATCAGGAGGATTAACCAGTGCAAAAGAAAAGTGAATAGCCACAAAGCGGTAGTGGTGAACTTAAAGCTACTATTATCACTCTCATCCCAATTATGATAAGCAATCTTTTGTGCCACTAGTGAATTGACACAGCATCGAGGACAAAATCAAAGTGCACAAGAAAACTAAATTCAGTGAGACGAAAAAAAGGCACCCTCATCCTATTAGAAGGAACAACGACAAAGGCACCGCCACTAGTTTGACTAAATATTGATCTTCCAATAAGTAGAACATGATGCTAATCGTCATCACATGTATACCTATGTCAAAGATCTGGTCACAGACACCTCATTCACCCAAACTGACATCTCCTCGGCGCTTAAACCAATTAGATCAGATGCAAACAAAATCTAACAGAACGAAATACAAGCAAACTTTACGATCACATCGGGTGTCATGGAACGAAAATTAAGGTCAGAAGTCGAAGCATCTACTCACTTTCTTTTGTGCTCCTGCACGAATTTGGAGTTCTTGGCATCCTCCTCTGCGATTTGATCAGACAAACAAAGAACGAGGGGAAAAAAGTCAGAACGAGAAGATTGAGAAGGGAATCCTGGAAAGGAAAGGAAAACGGAAGAGATCGGAGAGTTGAGGGACGAACCGGTGAGGCCGGCGGTCATCTTAACAATGATGCAGCCGGTGATGGCGAATCCGACGAGGAAGGGCCAGTTCCGGTTAAACTCCCTCTTGAAGAACACGGGCCACGGATCGAACGTCTTCATCTCTCTCGCTCACTCTCCCTTCGCCGCCGACCGCAACCCTTCCGATCCTCTCTTGTTAGGTCTTGGAGATCGAATCTTCTTTTGGGGCAATTATATCATCGCGGATGTATGTTTCTCAGAAAAGCCTCTATACATCAATTATTTGCAAACAACTCCTTATCCATATTTTACTATTTAGTCCCTGTAAAGGGCAGTCAATGAAACGGACCCAATGACGCAGATCCGAACCGACTCATTCACACTGAGTTCGGTACCGATCCCGGCGTTCGTCGAGTTTGGACAGTTTGTAATATGGAGAAGAAAAGACAAGATGGGTGAGACAAAGACGCAACAACATGGGCTTTGAGATTGGTGAAGTGTCATCCAATCATGTTGATCCGATACCAACCTTACTATCCTACGGCCCAGATCATGTCGGACCAGTCAAATCCAATTAAAACTCGGTTTTACTCTGGTCTCGAGTCAGATCGCGATTTGACTCAATCAACTCGAACGAGTGAACCGGAGCCCAACAAGCTACATGAGTCAAAGGACGAGCCCAAAACCATCTCCCGCGCCGCTCGGCTTGCACTCGGTGCCTCCCTTGCGTGGTCGCTGCCCTAGCGCACCTCACCTCCGCTCTCCGCTGCTCTCGATCGCCGCCGTCGTTCCAGGTCCAGGCTCTCCTACGTCGTAGCCCCTTCTACTCCCTCTTCTTCCCTCCTTCCTGTACTTCCTCTCATCGCTACTCCCTTCTCTCTCTCCTGCTCTTTCTTCTTCGCTCCTCTCTTTTCTCCCCTCTCTCCGATGCCAAAATCCTGACGCCGCCCTCATGTATGTGTAATTTGTGGTTAGGATTAGTCGACGAGGCCCGACCAAATTGATGGCTGGTTCAGTTCTCATGATCATGTCATATATAAAATTCATGTGTACATTGCTGCAATATGTAGTCTATTGCATTTACTTTTGTTAATCTTCTCTGAGGAGATGTCTTCCATTTCATCTACTTCAACAGTTGCATCTTTAATTTTGCCCTAGATTCCCGTTACAATGAGTTCTGAATTATACGACGATAATGTGGTGCTTAGATTCAAACTCACTGGTGGAAGCAGATTTTGGTCAAGATGCAACCTTGAATTGAAATTAACTATGTGAGAGGTGCTCCTGGGGTTTAGGATGATGCGGTGTTGGAGGGTCAAAGACTCGTGGGCTGCAATTATTCCTGCAAGGAGGCTGTGGCTTCGCCATGCTTGTAGTAAATTGTTTGTCGTAGGTATGAGTCTATGCTCCATTCTCAAATTTGTCATTATAGAAACAATCCTGAGGTCATTTTTACTTTCTCGTGTCCCTCATATTGTTGTTTTTGGAGAATTTTTTTCTCTACACCACTTCAGGTAATGGTTTATTCATTTGTAGAAAGTGTTATCATATGCAACACTCTTGTCTCTTTGAAACGAAAAGGAGCAATGTTGATCCCAGAGATCAAAGATTTGATCTTGTATGTGCTTTGAAGATTCGTATGCGTGTCAATTAATAATACAATAAGATTTGAGTTCATCTTTTCTGCATCCTTTGAACATTACGATATCTGTTTCTTTAGCTATATATGGTGTCTAGTTTCAATTGAAGATTTTTTTTTTTCATGCTACTTCAGGTGGTGCTTTATTCATTTCTAAATTGTTCAGTATTATCATGTCTAACACTCTCGTCGTACTCTTTGAAATCAAAAGGAGCAATATTGACCCCAAAGATTAAAGCTTTTATCCTGTATGCACTTTGAAAATTCATTTTTGCTATCAACTAATTATAACATCAAATTTGAGTTCCTCTTTTCTGCATCTTTTGAGCATCATAATATATGTGTTTCTTTAGCTATATGTGGTAACTTCAAGTCTTAATTTTATATACCACTTCAGGTGATGGTTTATTGATTTTTAGAAACTAGCATGTAGTGTTGTCATGTGTAAGATACTCTCTGAAATGAAAAGGAGCAATGTTGGCCCCACATATTAAAGCTTTTATCCTGCATACGCTTTGACGACTGGTATTCGTTATCGACTAATAATACAATAAGACGAGTTCATATTTTCTACATCCTTTGAGCATTACAATTAATACATCTTTTTTCTTAATGAATAGATTGGTGATGTGGTTCCATTTATCATGATCTCTATCTTTATTCTAGTACTTCAAATAATATCAGGATCAGCTGTATATTATGTTATCTGTTTGAATGCTTACTATTGCTTTATCCATGCAGTATCCTGTTTTTCTCAAGATATGCTGTGTCCTTTGTTATAGTGTGTGCATTGCAAAGCAAAACATGTAGTTTCCATTTTGTTGGATACTCCATACCTTTGGTCCACCAAAAGGAGTTGATGTAATGATTTAAATGAAAATTCTTCTTAACCTGCATATAGAACTAGGAATTTGAAGCTACTGTTCTGAGAGATGCCTTTTCAATGTCAGAAGTTCTCTTATCCAACTATCTGATACACCTAACTGCAGGCCTTTCTTATGATACCAATGAAATTGCCCTGAGAGATGCTTTTGCTGAACATGGTGAAGTTGTAGAAGGTAAATAGGTATGCTTCTGAATTCACATTATTTTTATGAAACTTGTTATTGGCTGAGCATCTATCTATGTAATTATTTGACAGTCAAAGTTATATGTGATCGGAGTACTACTAGCAAGTCAAAAGGATATGGCTTTGTCCAATTTTCTTCAGAAAAAGAGGCAACCATTGCATTGCAAAAGATGGATGGTGAGGTATGTCAAAAGTATTCCCCTCACATATTATTGTTCTTTTAATTGTGGATAGTCTTTTACTAACCTTTTAGAAATATTTATGTGCTAGGCATTATGAAACATACTTATGAAAAAGCAAGTTTATGGTTGCAAGTACATTGTGATGGTATAAGCTTTCACTTCCATCATTTGTTTCAGTTTCTGGATGGAAGATATATTCGTGTACACTACGCAAACAAGGGATGAAACCTGCGATAGTTTGACTATCCTATTGGATTGATGTTGCTTTGAAGTTTTTATACCAGAAGTTCGATCGTCAAATAAATATTTTTTGGGCTTATTAGATGTGAGCTTCACTGTTTTAGAAACCTTTTTGTTTCCTCGTTAGTTTACTAGACAGGCCATACTTTGTTCCTCTTGTAATTAATAGATTGAATCGTTTACATGAAATCATTTGATATTTTTTCTTTGGTAAAATCACATCCATGTCGATTAGACATCATTGATTTATTGTGATTTTACCAAAGAAAAGTTCAGGAACAAAATAATGAACATTATGTGTGTGTGTTTACAAACCAATTCTCAAATATTAATTGCAAGAACACACCTCAAACACTGAGATCATTTAAAAAACTGAGATCAGAATATCGAATCCTTTTTCAAACAAAAGAGATTTAGTAGAATTTCAAGTCCTCCAACGAGAAGAAATCGTATTTCATACACTAACCAAAGAAATCAAAAGGAAACCCTAAATCAACACATCATAGTAAAAGGAAGCAAGATCTGAGAGCAGTCATGACCACCACCAGAAACCCTAGAGGCGGCGAGCGCTCAGGAACTGGTGAACTTGGTCACGGCCTTGGTGCCCTCAGACACGGCGTGCTTGGCGAGCTCGCCGGGGAGGACGAGGCGGACCGAGGTCTGGATCTCGCGGGAGGTGATGGTGGGCTTCTTGTTGTAGCGGGCGAGGCGGGCGGCCTCCTGGGCCAGCTTCTCGAAGATGTCGTTGATGAAGGAGTTCATGATGGACATGGCCTTGCTGGAAATGCCGATGTCCGGGTGCACCTGCTTCAGCACCTTGAAGATGTAGATCTTGTACGTCTCGCTCCCCTTCTTCGCCTTCTTCTTCTTCTTGTCGATGGAGGCGCCGTCCTTGGAGGGGAGGTGCTTCCCGGCCTTGGGCTGTTTCTCCGCCCTCTTCTCCTTCTCTTCCGCCGCAGCAGGCTTCTTCTCCGCCGGCTTCTTCTCCGCCCTCGGCGCCATTAGGAACAGAGCTTGTCGTTGCAACGAGAAAAGATCGACTAGAATCACAGGCGGCGATGGGAGGGGAGAAGAGATCGAATATATATATATAGGGAAAGCGAAATGTTCTGATTGGTGGATAGGTCGCAACACGGATCGTTGACGTGGCAGATTCCAAAGCAGTCGATTGACGCAGATGAACGGCTAGCATTGGACGCTCGTCGTGATGAAAACAGACAACGAAATCGGCACAGCACTATCGGATCAGATCAGGTGGAATCCAGAATAAGATCCGATCCAATAGTAAAAGAAAGCTACCATCCTGATATACTAATATTCCTATATTTCAATTACATGATCATATTTCTAATGTTCATTACTAAATTTCAAGTGAATATAAAAATACAATTTGACATGGTCGACATGGGCGTCACCGACAGATCGTCCATGATGATGCCGAGATGGGAACGGGAAATAAAATAGATAACTCGAACCGGGGGTTGAGTTAGTTTCGGATCCGGATTCAAATGCAAATTCGCAGGTAGCATCCGTTATGTCCGGAATCCGAACCCGTCGTAACAGCGCGAAACGCTACGAAGGCGAAGCGGCTCCGTTTCCGTTACAGTTCGGTATCGGGTCGGCCGAAACGCTACGAACGGGAAGCGGCCCCCGTCTCCGTTCCGGTCTCGGAGTCGGGTCGCCGTCCCAAACCCACGACAACACCCTCTTCTCTCTCTTTCCCTTCCCCGAGCCATCACCCATCTCCTCCCCCCGCCCCCCATTCCTTATTCTTACCGCCCCATATTTCTCTCTCTATATCTCTCTCTCTAGGGTTTCCTCTCCGTCTCCAAAAGGGATCCAATTTCCTCTTCTTCAGTTCTCGGCGGCGGAGTCAGATCGTCTGGCTCGCCTCGCTTCGTCTCTTCCGGTGCGTCGATCTCTTTTCCCCTCTCTCGTGAACGCTGGATTGTTTCCGTCCCTCTCTTGCGGATCTTGATTCGTCTTGCTCGTGTTCCGTTTGGTTTTCGCTGGTTTTTCTTGGTGGTTTTAGGTGGTGCTGGTGCTGCGGGCGGGATAAAGATTTCATCTTGGGAGGGGGATCCATGGCGATTTTGAAGAATGAGTCTAGGGTTTCGAGGACGGACGGCGATTCCTCGCCCGCCGGGAGCGCCTCGAGCCAGGAGGATGAGGAGGAGCCCTGTGCGGGGATTGGCAAGGCGGAGACCGATGCTTCGGATTCCTCCGATGTGGATTCCGGCATGGAATCGGACGAGTTTGATCCCGCGGAGCTCGGCGAGCCTGGCAGTCAGTTGTGCCAAGTGGGGAATCAGAGCTGTAGCATCCCCCTCGATCTCTGTGACCTACCCGACCTGGGCTCCATCTTGTCCTTGGATACGTGGAATGAGTGCCTCTCGGAGGAGGAGCGCTTCATGCTGGCTGAGGACCTCCCCGACATGGACTGGGAGACGTTTGGCTACACCCTTAAAGAGCTGTTGTCAGGGCAAAACTTTCACTTTGGGTGCCCGCTTGGTACTCTCTTCAATCGGTTGAAAGGTGGACTCTGCGACCCCAGGATCGTTCTTTATCGTCGGGGCTTGAGTTTCTTGCAGCAGCGCGAGCACTATCATCACCTGTGCAAATATCAGAACTCCATGGTGAGGAGTCTTGTTGGCATAAGGGAAGCATGGCAGAACTGTTCGGTGTATAGTATTGAAGAAAGGCTTCGGCTTCTGAATATTCTGAGGAGTCAGAAGTCTTTGAGTCATGAGAGGAAAGGAGATGTTGGAATTGAGATGGATTCAGAGAGTGCGGATTCTGATGATCGGTACTTGAATAAACGGTTTAAGATGGGTCAGCAGTTTGCAAAGCCTTCATTTGACATCACTCCTCATGAGATTGGCATGGCTCGGGAGCCAGTGAAGTTGGGGAAAGAATACTCCAAGGGTGTTTTGAAGGTTACAGCTCCTAAGGTTCCAGCACACCAAAACATTGGAGAATTAGGGATACATCCTTCTTCCTTGAAGCATGGAACAGTCCCAAAATCTAGAGTAGCAACACCACAAATAGCTCTTACTCAGCAGGATAAATATGCAGGCTATGATATGGGGGCTTCCAAAAGGACTAAACATCATATTGGTGGTGATCATGAGGATACGGAGGAAGGCTACGATGGTTCACAAGGAGACTGGATTGCTGGACGCAGAAGGGCAGTAACCAAGAGTAGATTGCCGAAGACAGGAAAGAAAAAGGAACCACAGAGAAGATATGATGCAGGCATGTATAGTGATCAAGAACCTGAAGGTTATGGTGGTTTCAGTCATTCTCAGGGAAAAAGCAGAAATGCAGAGCATGCGGTAACTATTGCTTCATATGGTCATGAGTCTCGTGAACTCACAAGAAATGCTGATTATGCTGACAGAGAGTGGGTGTATCCTACAACAGGTAGAGCGCAAAATCATATGCTAACCAATCCCTTGCAACGAAATAAGATGCATGAGGAAGCCATTACCTCAGGCCATTCAGTTAAATCTGATAATTGGAATAGCAGAGCCAAGAATTGCAAGGTAGGAAACGAGTACAAAGCCGGTAAAAGTAAAGCTGGTAACGAATTGAAAAATACTTCTTATCAACCTGTTCCGAGACAAAAGGGTGATTCATATCTCCAAAAGGATCCTAGAGCTAGGATATTACAAGGGAAGGTGAAAAATAATATGACTCAGTATGATGGAATGGATGTGGACTACTCAAGTGGTGCTACTATGATTTCTCAGAGTGAGGAGACAGAATCTGATTCATCCGACCAGGTTGAAGATGATGGATATCGCAATTCTGCAGTCAAGAAGTTGGAGCATCAAAGTGGTGATGTTGCGGGCCATCGCGCTGGAGTTGTGAGATCAACCTATAATCCTAAAAAGCCAAACAAGCTCATGAAAGTAGATAAAAAAGGTATTTCTGACTTTTCTGATGCTGGTAGGAGCATACATACACAGGATGTAGAATCATACCCTGTTAAAGGAAAACATGGAAGATTGGTAAAGAAGGCCCTGGTACCGCACCCAAATGAAAGGTTGACATATCCAGAGAAGAGGTATAAAGGGATGGCCAATATGGATCATTCCCCACAGCAATCATTTTACTCTCATGATTATGGCAGTGGCGTAATGGATGAATACATGGAGAATTTGGATGAAATTTCCAAGTCACGAGGCGGCAAGAATACGATCAACAAACTAGGGAACATGATGGAAACCTCTGATGTTGATGCTGCTGAAGAAAGATCAAATATGCCCCTAATGGGGTGCAACTCTGTGCCAAAGAAACCTAAACGGAAGGTTGATGGTCATTACCTGAATGAGCTGGATGAATCCCTCCACCTACAACTGAGTCCAGAGCAGCAGCAGATCGATGACCTTAATGTCCTTAGGAAGGGCAAAAGGAAAGCAGATGCTGAAACTGATAATTTGACTTTAATAACTGCGGATCTGGTAACATCAGAAAAGGATAAAGATGGAGAGCTCAAGGCAAAGCCACAGAAAAAACCATTTACTCTTATCACTCCTACTATTCACACTGGCTTTTCATTTTCCATCGTACATCTTCTTTCAGCTGTCCGGAAGGCAATGATTACCCCTCATATGGAAGATACTATACTGACAGCCAACCATCTTGAGGACAATAGGACTAAACAAAAAACAGAAGAGCAGAATAAAATGCATCAGGTAGTCAATGGCACACACCTTCCTTATTCTTTTGAGAATATGGATAATCATTCTTTAGAGCAGAATATTTTGCCTTCTCTCACTGTTCAAGAGATCGTCGATCGAGTTAGATCAAACCCTGGAGATCCATGCATTCTCGAAACACAGGAACCACTTCAGGATTTAATTCGAGGAGTTCTGAAGATTTTTTCTTCTAAGACAGCGCCTTTGGGGGCAAAGGCTTGGAAGCCCCTTGTAGTATATGAGAAATCAAACAGAAGTTGGTCATGGGCAGGTCCAGTTGCTTCTAGTTTATCTGACAATGATAATGCAGAAGAAGAAACTTCTTCAGAAGCGTGGGGAATTCCTCACAAGATGCTTGTAAAGTTGGTTGATGCTTTTGCTAATTGGCTTAAGAGTGGTCAAGAGACGCTCCAGCAGATTGGAAGCCTCCCTCCACCTCCTACTTCATTGCTTTCAAACTTGGATGAGAAGGAAAGGTTCAAAGATCTAAGAGCTCAAAAGAGTCTAAACACCATTAGCCCTAGCTCTGATGAAGTAAGAACATACTTCCGCAGAGAGGAATTCTTAAGGTACTCGGTTCCAGATCGGGCCTTTTCCTACACAGCTGCTGATGGGAAAAAATCAATAGTTGCTCCACTTAGAAGGGGTGGTGGAAAGCCAACATCAAAAGCTCGGGACCATTTCATGCTTAAACCTGATCGACCGCCACATGTTACTATTCTTTGTCTTGTTCGAGATGCAGCTGCTAGATTGCCAGGTAGTATTGGAACTAGAGCAGATGTTTGTACTCTATTACGGGACTCGCAATACATTGTTGAAAACATTTCTGATGCACAAGTGAACCAAGTTGTTAGTGGGGCTCTAGATCGGTTGCATTATGAACGCGATCCTTGTGTACAGTTTGATAGTGAAAGAAAATTGTGGGTTTATCTGCACAGGGACAGGGAAGAAGAAGATTTCGAGGATGATGGTACATCATCCACTAAAAAGTGGAAGAGGCAAAGGAAAGATTCTATAGACCAGTCTGACATTGGAGCAGTTAATGACGTTGATGCAGGAGTCTTGGTTGGTGGCTCTTCTTCTGGTCAGGATCACGTTGATGATCTGAATGTTGATGCAGCATTCATCAGTGCAGGAGAAAAAGCTGAACTTGTTTCTGAAGATATGAGGCCCGATATGGAGAATATACATCCTCTTATGGACACAACCACTGTTATCAAGAAGAGCCAGGGCAATTGGGATGGTCCAGGAGTGAATTCATTGAGAGAAAACAGATTGGTATGTCAAGAGAACTCAACAGATGAAGATTTTGATGATGAAACATTTAGTCAAGAGAGGCCAATTCGGCTTCAGTATGACCTTACCATGAAGAATGGACTCTACTAGATCCTTACCAACATATTTATGGTGCAGTATCTTTTAGGTAATGCTTGTAATAACATTATCAGATTCTTAAATTTTGATTTGTCTTCAATTCACAGATATCAGTTTGTTTATGTCTACGTCAATTATGCTACTTGCTATAGGTTGAATATTCTACTTTTTTTTTGCACCGCATCATGACTTCTGTTCATGCAAAGATCTCTTGTCCAATTTAAAGCATATATTTTGGTGGTTTCCTTACATGCCAAGCTTCATTTCTGTGAATGTTCATGGAAAGGAATGCTGATTCTGGTATAGTTTTTTTTCAATTTATTTCTTTATCTCAGTATTTTTATTGTCTTTTGATTCATTTGAAAGTTTGGTCTCTTGGATCTCACATAATGATGATTCTTTCTTGGTTTTTAGTAGTAATTTTTAGCTCTTGAAGTCTATAGGAATATGCAATTAGTTTGAAATTTTCCTTGTGATTATTTATGACATTTGGGTATATATAAGTTTTTAGGTATTCTTTGAATTTATCTTGAATTTTGTGCCAGTGTAGAAGTATTTTAATAATCACTATATACCAGTTAGTTTTATTAAAGTTTTGAAAGGAGTGTCTCATTGTCAGTTGCAACCAAGGTTCGCAATACCGTACCGTACCGGTATTTCGACCTGGGCTCGGTACCGGTACGGTATGGTATACCGAGCGGTACACTCAGGTGTGCCGAGTACTGTAGCACTGCTACAGTACTGCAGTGCACTCAGACCGGTAACAGATGGTCCGCGTACCGGCAACCTGTCGGACCGGTATGTACCGCCCATACCGGGCGGTACAGTTCGGTACTGCAGACCCTGGTTGTAACATTTAGAAAGTGGCTTTTTTCTTGATGATTGTCACCATAGTGATCAATGGGAAAGGGCTAATTATATATTTTTCCTCGTACGTAGGTTCTTTTAGCATCGTGGTCCTTGTACTTTAAAACGTTACATCGGGGTCCCTATAGTTTCGAAATTGCCATAATTGACTCCATTTTTAATAACTTCGTTTGTTTCTTTGACGAAATCCACTACTCGTGACATCACGTGCAGAATTTGCACCAAAATGAAGGGCAAAATAGTTAGCCCCCGCCCTGGACCATCGCCACCAGCCCCATCGCTTGTTGCCACATGCGTCCCCAACTTGTTAGCCCTCGTCTCGCATTGCTGCAGGCTCCCCACCCCTTCTTGTCGAACCATCCACCCAATGGTGTCAAGCATGCTTCGATAGTTCCAAAGCTCCGTCGGTAGGAGCTGCTTTGCAGCCTACTTCCGGACCATGGTTGGTGTCTCCACCGCAAAAGCCTTCCCTCAATACTTCAACGCTGGTGTCTTCGTCGCAACGGCTTGATCGCGGTGGGCGCACAAATCCTTTGTGCTGAGGATCCCGCGAGTCTCTTCTTCGGGGGCTGATTGTTTTACCGCGGAAGGCATAGTCATCAGCCGTGGGCGAGAAGTAGATGGAGATGGGGGCGACAATAGAGTAGAGGGACAAGGGTCTAAGCAAAGGTGGAGCAAAAGTCAACGGTGGGTCAGCGACTCCAGTGATGATCGCGGGGAAGGCTGTGGCGATCATCGCTGCCTCATCGTGAGGCAAGAAGCCGGGGTTCTTTGAGGGAGGGGCAAGGGCGTTCGACCTAGAGGACCTGCTACGGGTGTTGGCAGAGGTGTGGGGGAAGCACACGTTCGGGATGACATATAAGGCAGTGCTCTAAACGGGGTGATGGTGATGGTGAAGCAGCTCAAGGATATGAACTTAGTGGAGAGGGAGTTCAAGGAGAAGATCGAGGCCATCGACGTGATGGACCATTCTAACCTGGTGTCCCTCATGGCCTACTACAGCAAGGATGAGAAGCTCCTGGTTGACGATTATATGCCATTGGCAACCTCTTTGCCCTCTTGCACTGTATGCCCATCCTTCCTCTCCTTCCTATGAATGCTTCACCTTCTTTTGTTCGAATCCAAGGCACATCGACGATGAATTGAACTCACATACATATCAAATGCATAGGTAACAGAAGATCTAGTCGAACACCTCTCAACTGGGAAACAAGAACGGGCATCGTGCGCGTAGTAGTGCGCAACATTGAGTACATCCACTCCATGGGCCCTTCCGCCTCACATGGCAACATTAAGTCCTCCAACATCCTCATCACCAAGTCGTATGATGCTCGTGTGTCCAACCACAGCCTTGTCTTTCTCATGGGTGCAACGTCTGCCCCTACCCATGTCGTAGGATACTGGGCTCTGGAGGTCGCTGACCCCCTCAAGGTCTGCCAGAAGGTTGATGTGTATCGCTTCAATGTCCTTTGCCGTGGGGCGGGGGCTAACCGTTTTGCCTTTCACTTTGGCACAAATTTTGCATGTGATGTCACGTGCAACATCTTCCGTCAGTGCAACATAGGGCATTATTAAAAATGAAGTGAATTGTTACAATTTCATAACTATGGGGAGCCCAATGTAACTTTTAAAAGTATAGAGACCATAATGCTAGAAGGGTCCAAGTACAAGGATAATTTGTAATCAGCCCATGGGAATATGCCATGTTTTCTAATTAGACAAAAGTTCTCTATTCCAAGGATTGCCTATGCCACTTAAATGAGTCTTAGATTCGAATCTATAGCAATCCCTTCTTGGATCAGTGCAATATGTTGATATGGAATGTTATACTATCACTAGAGAAAAATGAAAAGCCAGTTGAAGTATGTGTACTTTGGTCATACAGATAAGTGGTTGGTTCAGTATCACATGGGTATACCATGAGTACCACTCCATTCCTATGTTGGTCATTTGCTAACATCATATAACAAGCTTTTCTCAAGTATAATTACTGCATTTTATAGTGGCATGTAACATCGGTACCAGCATGCAGTGACTAGTGTGGGTACTTGCTCGGATACTGGTGAATTTGGGGTCAGCTTGAACTAGTCAAGAATTGATTGAGCTGATTACGGGGCTAAGATACTATAAACAAAGTGATGGGGCTTTCTGATATCAGCCGAGCTTTTAAACCATGTTAATCCATTCAAATTAGACTTCCAAATTCACCATTCAAATTTGGTTTTTGGACCAACCAGATACGAAAATTAGTTTGGAATACTAAATAATAGAGAAAAGATACTGGACTATGATATGAACAGACTAAATTTTGGTTTGATCTGATCTTCAGTACAATGCCTGGGGAATATCTTTTTCTAGAGCTCTTAAATTTTATTTATGAGTTTTATTTAATGGACATTGTACACTAACAAATAGAGAAACTTGCATTAAGTTTTTCTGTTTGGTTGGGTGATTCCTTGTAGGTGTATATCAACGTTGGATACAATTTATTTAGTAGTGCATGGTCTTTGGACTTTGTTGGGTGGTACATTAGTTCTGAAGTTGTGTCATCCTTCTAGAGTATTCTAGCTGGTAAGTCATGTATATAAACACATTGCACACACACACACACACACACACACACACACACACACATATATATATATATATATATATATATTGTACTTGATGTGCATGATGGATCATAAACTCATGAAAGTAACTGATAAAACCAATGAATGAGCAATTGCAACTTTGCAAGATACTTGGCATGAATTCTCATGGTGGAGGTGGTTACTTTTGTTCCTAATTTTAACAAGGGAAATTTAGTCAGTGTTTGTGATCAGAAATTCAAGGTACCAAAAACGATGAGAACCTCATAAAGTTTAGATGCTTATCATTATGAGAGTTCTATTTCAGGTAAGTACTGCCCGAAATCTATCCTCCATGAAATGTTATCACTGTTTTCCAGAGGTTTCCAATTTGAGTTGTTTGATGTGGTGGCACCTTTCCATGTTGCACATTCTGGTGCAAGTGATATTACTATATTCTTTGTGTTAGAATATTCGTTTATTCTTGGCTTACCTTGGTTATAAGCTTAGTAGAACAAATGCTATGGTGGGTCGACCTTGTTAGCAAGATCTGACATGATAGTTGCTTTGCTGAATAAAAATGTATGAAAGATCAGGCAATTCTAACATGTTGAGTTTGAATGGGCCTAGTGATAACAATTGCCAATACCATATATCCAGAAATAGTGTTAATGTGATTCTCATATGTGATTCCTTTATTTGTTGATGTTCTCCTGGTTTGCTTTATAATTTCGGTGAGATTTCTAACATGCTGATCATTCATTTTTGCAGGGTAAGAAAGCGAACCATATGAACAAAATTATTGGTGACTTAATCGTGATTGGTTTGATTGCCAGTGCACCATATCGGCATTCATTATTTAGCCTACTTTTAAGTCTCCTGTTCTGACTCGGGTTGCGGTTTTTTCCATGTACATTTCCTCTTGCGGCTGCAATCAGCTGAGCGCAATTGCCAAGTCAGAATGGCCTCTTCACCAGTTTGGAAACCTCGATAGCTTTCATTGCTCCAGAAGAACATGTAGTGAACAGATAAGAGAAATTTATCTCACACAAACCACCATTCCATTCTTTTTATTTGAGAGGAAAATCACACTGTTCAAGTTGCTTATGTGCTCCTTTTGTCGCTTGATGGCTTGGCTAACGAAATAACATCGCGACGGAGATCTCGTTGCTTCTGCATTTTTGTTAAAAGTGGATTATCTTCATTATATGCCTTTAATATGTTGCATAAAACTATCATCATTATTAGTGCTCAGAATCATACTTTTGTTATTAATCTATCGTGGATTCATTCCCTCTGGTCAACCTGCATAGTTTGCATGTGTAAAAAGGCCCAAATAAGGGATGATAAGATGATGACTTCTTTCTTCTGCAATTGAATTATGTCTTCACGGTGTTCATTCCATATCATGCATGCGTGATTGATGGTTATGTCGACGATAGTAATGATAATAATGGTGATGTTAATATCCGGTGGTATTCCAAATCTATTATTAAGGGTGATGTTCTAAACCCAATTCGTAAGTGTGATGTCTCAAAATCTTATTTGATAAATTTAGATATTTCATCACAAAGATATATTTTTTAATATATTTTTTTATGCAAGTACAATTTATTTTTGACATATTCTTTATGCTTGACCAGCATATCATTAATTCAAGATTTTACAATGAAAGCTGCAACATTGGCAGAAGCATTCTTTTTTAATCTGGAATTACCAAAAGAACAATAATTTAAATTTATTTTTAATAAAAAAATAAAAAAAAATTCATTCCATATATATATATATATCATTTGTGCAAAAAAAAAAAAAAAGAACTTCCCAACAGATAATTTAAATTCATTTTTACAACCGAACAAGTAAACAAGCAAATTGAATAATTACTAAAACACAAATAACTGTCTGGTTCTAATTTAAATTACAATCCATTGGAGCAAAAGAAAGAAATATTTTTTATAAGGAAAACTGTACTATCTTGCAATATATCTTCATTCTGGACTGTACAAGACAGATCAGTCTCGGTGAAGTCATCAACAAATTGGATAAAGAATGAAAAGACCAATACAACATGAATAACTATATAGCTGCTATATTATATACATAATCTTACCAATGTTCTACTTCATTAACTTCAATTAATTGCCATTAAAGCAAATCTGGCATCCCTCAAGTCCTGTAACTGAGGGTCCTGCATCTCTGAAGAGCGACTCACATCCCCATTTGCCTCCTTGGAAGTAGATTTTGCTACCCAGAATGATTTCAGCAGCTCTTCGAATGCAGGAGTCCTCAGATCTTCGATGGATGTGATACTTGGCAGATCGATTGATCGCCTCCTCGGGGTGGAACATGATGGTACATCCACCTGGGTAGGTCATGTACTGTGAGTTGATGAACATGATGGTGGAAATTAGAGTTCCTAACACAAATTTAACTCGTGTTGATGCAACTTACCATATATTCTTCCTCGAGGCACTTTCCTGTGTTTTCTGTAATTTCGACTATCTTGTGGTAGTGTCCACTCCTCAGTCCTCTTAGCTCCCCACAGCATGGGACAAGCATACAATTGATGTTTGTGCATGCGTCGTGGTCAAGTTTCAGCGAATCTGGAAAAGAAAATGCATATGCCTGATCGCTTTGAAGATCGTAGACACTTATTATAACAAGTAGGCAAATGTGGGATGATGTATGTTACATTCAATTGAGGAATGAAGATCCTTATTTGCGACATTGATGTCTTCAAGAGTAGTCGAGGCAGCAGAAAACAACCTAGACCGCAGTAGTTGATTGGCTTCCAATCCACTCCTGTGTAAGTCCATGCAAAAGCATTGTAGAGGTAGCAAAAGTACTATTAATTTTGAAGGATCATTTAGCTCAGTTACCTGACTACTGAATCTACTGATGCCACATTTACTTTATCAAGGTTTAGCAAGGAATTTTGAGCATCTCTCCATTGTTGTGAACCCAGTTTTGCCTTTTCCATGCTTAGATCATCACAGGCAAATTCCATATTATAAATTTGATTCAGCCAGTGAACAAGATGCTAAAATGTATAATTTGATGCTATTATCCATTCTTACCAACTTCTTAAACCTTCATCTAGGTGGAGCTTGCCATTTTCAACAGCTGCAATATCCTCAAGATAATGATCTTCAGTTTCTTCCATGTAAGATTTCCATTGTTCTTTCACAGATGAAGTAAATTTGTGAGCAGTTGACATTTCTTGTTCTAGATTACTTGTTCTCTCAGCAGCACTTGCACGAAGACTACATACTGCTGCTTGAACCTAAACAACAAGATCAGATGTGAAAGCTCTGATGATTATTAGCAGACTGATTTAAATATAAAGTTCATGCACAATGCTAGACTGAGTAGTGAACTGCCTGCCGTGGCTTCCAAACAAGTACAGATTTCTGATATTTGTACAGTTTCTGAAGGTAAGTCAGATTTTGCAAAACAAAAACCTTCCAGAGGCATAAACAGAACTACAATCGTCATCTGATACAGTTGGTTTCATTTTCACATTTCTCAACTATTGACTATTATCTCACATTCCCATGTTTAGACAGAATCATAAATGGTGAAGATTCTCTACCATTAATAGAAACTATGGCTTTATTGGCATTCAACAGAAATTCATCATGGTTTAAACTTTAAAGGAAGACTTTTAAGTCACCCTGCGATAATTAACATTGGAAATATCTAATCTTTGGTTTGCAAACTGACTTTAGAGATTTATCCCCTCAAAGTATCCTCTTATTAATCATTTCCATTTATTTATCAAAAATGTGTAGCCGAGTATTTATTTCATCAAAAGCCTACCTAGTCAGGTAACTGGACATGGCTTCCAGAAGAGGAAGCGAAGAATATAAACAACAAAACCAGAATTCTGAACGAACAATGCCACCATTATACACCTGTTTCATTGAAGCTTGAAATTTTTATTTACAAAATTAATGTCTATAAAGTCTTGGCTTCTATGGATTTTCACATTTAATCAGGCATTGATAACAGAATTTGGGATTTGGATCAGTTGGAATAGGTGGCATCACATTGACAAGTCAATCACTTTGCCAAAAATAGTGTTGATACGAATTGGATTCAAGCGTATGCTATGATCAGATGTTTACTCATACTTAGTCAGCTGCTGCCAGTCTACTGGTTACTTTTTGTTGAGCTCATCTCTTATATCCTAACACATATTGTTGCGATTGATGATTGATATATGCTTAACTGTCAAATCTGTTCTTGTTTGAAGTTTTGGATGATGCTAGGAGTTGAATTGTAGAAATCTAACTATTATTTTGGAGAATTTGACAAGCATTTGTGTAATTATATACTATTGTGGCATTTGAAAATTATTTCTCCTTTTAAGAGCTTTTGAAAGAATGATCCCTGACACAAAGGGGGAATTTATAAGAAATTCAGCATGCTTATTCTCAACTTCTTTTCTACGCTTGTTTCCTAGGATATAATGCAATTCTAAAGGCACTTCTTAACTGACAGAATATGAATCATTCCCGGATAGGAAACATGAGTTTCAAGTGTTTTCGTGAGTTTTCTTCAAACAAATATGTATAGTGTATTTTGCAATCTTTGTCAATCACCTGGCATACAAATAATCGTCGTTGCATTGACTACAAGTAGCAGTTGCAGTAACATGATCAAAATAGATCACAAAACTTTGTCTAATATGTCTATGCTTTGAAAAGAAAAAACTGCAATGCAAATATTTATTTGACATTCTTGATGAAATATTAAGTACCAGCTTTTTCTTCCGGGCACTTGAGATGGCCAGCATTTCCGCCACTTTTTCAAGCAGTTGTTTTTCTTCATTAGCAGTGCAATCCTGCACGAATAAACATTTGATTAAGAATATGGCTTACAGTAGAATTGTGATTACTCTCGTTAATTCAACAGTAATAATATGAAATGATAATACCTCAAAATTTTTCTCGAGTTCGCGGAGTTGTTTGTCTTGTACAGTTTTTGACTCTTCCAAAATCTTGGTTAATGTAGATGCATGAATATTGAGTGTATCAAAAAAGTTTGAAGCAATTCTCGAAATTGACCTTGTTGCTTCCACAGTTCTGAAATGTCCCTTTTGTTCCCAATACAAAATATATTTACTTCAAGTCAGATTACACAACTGATGCACCAAAAACAAAAACTTGCAGCCCTTTTTTATGAAGTATAGAAACCTACCTTACGCTGCTGTTGTGCAAATGCAACTAATTTATCCTCTTGCTTAGAAAGGCTCACTTGAAGTTCATGAAGCAATCGATCAGCCTCCAGAGCAATTCCTTTAAAGCACTGCACAGAAAGAAAGGGGTCATTGATCAAGTGGAATATATTTGAACACAAAGGTTTACCTGTATGTATACAATCTACTCACATCCTCGAGAGTAGAAGAGTGCATAAGCACTTGTGAATTCAATATTTCAAATGTAGACTGAGAATTTTTGTCAAGTTCAACAGCTAAATCATCCAAAGCTTTGATCCCAGATCCATACATGGTCTTCAGCCTTTCAACATGCCCTCTGATTTCTTTGGTGGCCTGGAAAAACATATGAGATTAATCTACCCCCATACCAGATTAGATATACCATATAATAAGAGAGAGAAAAACTAAGCATGAGTGAATATACCTCAGCCTTCGTAGAGACAAACAATTGCATGTCTTCTTCCACTTCTTTCAGTTGGGTCTCCTGTTGCATCACAGAAGCTGAGACAGTTTTATGCAAAATTTCCAACTGTTGAGTCAACTGAGACCGGAATTTCTGGACAAGTATTCTGTTTCCATCTTCTATCTTATCTTTGCGTTCTGCAAGCCAATTGTGATGATGACATAAATAGAAAGTATCATGGGTTACATTCCCCAGAAGAGAGAACATCCGAATTGAAATAAAGAATGTTACCAACCTATTTTGGAAAACAAGCCAAAAATATCTGCAGCTGCATTTTCTAGCTCTGACCGAAGCTCATATGCATGCTCAACAAGTGACTTTTCTGTGGTAAGGCATGCAGTAAAAAATTATTTACTTCCACCTGTAATGAGACTTGCTAAAAGAAATATGTGATACACAGACCAGCTAAGCAGGTTTTTATCTATGGTATGCTATCCACGAATAATGCACAACTTATGATTGATGTCAAATGAACTTGTCATGTTATGTTTTTGACAGAAATGATAATCATATCATGAATGAAGCATGTAACTAGGTCCCCTCAAAATGATGGAGCTGTAACATCTACATCAGAAAGGAGATTCTGTATGATAATAGCATACAGTTCCATTTTAGCTGCATGAGCAAACATAAACATCATTTCACCAAATAAAAGAAAACAGGAAATTGGAATAAATGGTGTTTAAATTCCCAACATCAAAGAGGAAATATAGCTACACTATTCTCACCTGACTTAAGGAGATTAAATATCAAAAACTCTTTCTCTTTTATCTTTGAGTTTGCCTGTCTGTATCTTTCTTCTAAGTCAAAAAATGCATGTTCAGTGTCCTCCAGCTTTTTCTACAACAAATTTAAAAAAGAGACAAAAAGGGAGAAGATAAAACCAGCATCATACCAGACTTTTAAACCATTAACAAAAAAAGTAATTTACCTGAGTTTTCTTTAGTTTCTCACTTAATTCTGCACTTAACAGTTGTTGGGAATTGTAAAGCTCTTGAAGCCCACACAGTTGCTACTCAAATCATAACAATAGGTTTATATCTCCACAAAAAAACTATGCTATAAGTAAAATATTATCAAGATACAATGACAAACCTTATCCTTTAAATCCAAATCATGTTCCAGATGCTCTATTTTCTCACTCATGGCCTGAAATTGAAATTTTATTTAGAGTGCAATGGTTGATCAAAACATTCATAATTACGTAAAATCATAGATAAAATATATAGAATCAAATAACAATCACAATCCAACCTTTTTCTCAGCTTCTTCAATCAAGTAGCGATCCCGTGGTACATAAATGCCATTCTTCTCTCTTGCAGCAAAAACCTCTAAAAAGACAAGAAACTTAAAACTACTTAATACTACTCAGAGGAAAGAAAATATCATTTATTAAAATCAAAATGCTCTGAAAAATATTCTTAGGTAAACAATAGTCATGATGTGGAGACTTTCAATTTTAAGGATTCAGTAAAATCATTAACAAGTATCAGGCAGCTTAAATTTATAATAGTATTATCATATAATTGATAGCACAATACTATTATCATATAATTCAAGACGCTTAGACTTGGAAAATGAAAATATAACAATATCATTAAATAAAAACATAAATATGAAATTAGAAAAAGATAAACCTTGTTTAAGACGGTCAATTTCTGCATATAAATCCTTGATCATGGCAGATTTCAACATCTTTTGATTAATCTGTGTTAAAGCACGAAGACAGACAGTAGCTTAGTCTCTACAAACATAATTTGCCTTAATTAGGAACAACAAAAACACAGATTCTGATGACCTCAGGCTTATTCTTTATATTCTTCGCACGGTGTGCATAATCTAAGGTGCTCAGAGTCTCTTCCAGACAGTGGATGGAAGGTGATATGGTAGCAATAATGCAGGTTTTCGTCTTGCCTCCCAGAGAATCTCTTAGTAATCTTGTCAATTTGCTGTCTCTGAAACCAAAAAATACGAAAATCAATATTCATTCCATTAATACATGATACTCTGCAAACACAATATCAGATGAAGGTAATTTGGGCCACCTGTAAGGAACATGGCCAGAGTGCTCGACAAGAGCATTAATAACACGGCCAAGAGTGAGCAAACTTTTGTTGATCTCTCCTGCCTCCCTTGCTCTGCCCTGCAGTAGTAATTACTTTTACAATCATCCATAGCAGAAATTTTCCCAAATTAGGCATATTGAACAAAAATCCCCAAAGGGCCTTTTAAAGAAGAAATGGACTTGTCCCAGTCATCATAAGTTAACCTCAAAAGTGATGGGGGACAATGTGAAAAGAATGCTGATATTTGTATGAAGAGCACACAAACTAAATATGATTATTCCATCTTGCTGAACCTTGAAAGATGAATATTTTACTCACATCTCTTGCACCTGAACGGGAAATATTCTCTGAACCAGCAAGATCCACAAGATTAAGCTTCCCACATTTGATCATCTCTTCCCCCTCAGGAGTACATTCTTTAATGTGAATTGTAATAGAAAATATGGAATGAGATCGACTGCTTTGCTTGTTGAGTAGAGTCTCTGCAGTACGCCTTTTTGCAGACCCTTTATCCAAGATTTTATAGATTTCACTAGCTGTATAGACTACCTCTTCTTCTAGTCCTCTCACAAAAACACCTCCCTTCCCATCTTCCATGAGGGCTATAGGCTTCTTCGACTTGTCATCGGATGATTTTGAATCATCAGGGGCCAAAAGATCTGTTATCTCTTCATTGTATAATTCAAGAAATGTGACTTTCATGCTGTATTCAGCACACTGTGCCTCAAGTATGTCAAAGATTTGCCGCACTGCTCTAGGGATAACTCCTGCATCACTTGGGAATTCTCCAATCTATACTAGCAACCAAAGTTGACTTAGAAACTAGAGATAAATAGGTGAACGTTCTAATTTAATCTATGTTTGAGAAGAGAAATTACCTTTGTTTTTCTTCCACCTCCTCCTTCCATGGTGTAAGTTTTACCTGTCCCAGTTTGCCCATAGGCAAAAATTGTACAATTGTAGCCCTCAAGGACCTCGTTAACTATTGGGGAAATAGCTTGATGAAACAAATCCTTTTGCTTTGATGCCGGGCCAAACACCTAAATTTGGTCAACTTGATCATGCACTTGCATTTGCTGCTCAGAGATGACAAAAAAAAAAAGGTATTTTATAAAATAATTAGAAGTCAAAATCTAATAACCTTGTCAAACACAAAAGTTCTGTCAATTTGCTTGTTAGCAATGTTCTGAACAGCAGAAACTTCTCGCCGGTGCTCATTGCATGATATGACCACTGGCGTGTTCGTCCTCAGCTCTTCCTCACTTAATGGTCTGCAAAACACTCTTAAGACTAAGGAGAAGAGCAAACAAAAATAATAATCTTAAAATAACAAAAATGACAATAAAAAACAAAATTTCCACCTGCATCTGAGTATGACTTGTACATTGACTCCCTTATCCTTATCATACTTGCTGTGGGAGTTCCCATTCCCCTCTACCGACCGGAGATCTCTCCCTGCCTTCTGCGTCGGCCTCGGCGTCTGGGAGGGCGACACGGGAACCATTCCCCCTTTGTTCTGAGTTCCCTCCATTCCCCGACAACCTGCTACATCAAAACACAAATCTTTAATAACAAAGCATTGATTTCTGAAACAGAAACCCCGCGATTCTTCAACCTCATACACGACATTGCTTCAGTATCAACCCTCATTTCCGATCGACCAAATAAAAAGAACAATTTCCGCAAAGAACTCCAAGATCCCCAAATCAGCGTCCAAAATCCTTCCAAGAACCGCAAAAGGGTGACATTTTTCACTTCAGGAAGCAGGAGAAACGAGCAAAAAAACCGCGAATCGATACAGAAAATGCAACCGCAGGAAGAGGGGGTTGAACGAGCAAGAACACCTCAGGGTAGGGGCCGCAAAATCTGGGAGAAGCACCGGGTGCCGAGTAGAGTATGACAGAAGCGATGGGTGGAGATCGCGCTCCTCGTTGCTCGATCTCTTTCCCTTTTTTCGCTACCTCGGTTTCCCTGACTGGTACGGATTGGCCCTGTGGGGCTATCGATCCAACTGCGATTCCTCGATTAGAGAGAAAAGAGATGTGGAATGGAGGACGGGGCAGAGGAAGTCGCTCAAACAAAGAAAAAGAAGTGTCAGCTTAAAGAGTTAAAGCGGAAACGCCTCTTGACGGCGTCAAGAAGACGCTAGACGGCGTCAAGATGCCGTTTAGTGTCTTGTGTCTCTCCGCGTCAATTAATTCTTAGGCATATAGTATGAATGATTGAAAATTCATTTACTAATATTAAATTATCATATTTATCAACTATACATTGAAATTTTATAATGATATTATTAAATCATTATAAATCCATGGGTATTAATTCTGTGTATGTTAAGATATTTACAATAATATATCATATTAATTTGGTAGATTTGGATGATATGTCAAGTTAATATAATGTCCATATCAAACATAACAACATTATGTAGCATATCTTTTTCGGGTCGAATATAATAAATTTCATCCTAGAATGAGATAAATAAGATGTCATTTGATTTTATCACTAGATAAATTATGTCATAAGATGAATGATTTTTTAGGTTTATTTTTCATCATGTTATGATTCCATATGTGAGTGAAATTTTTTTCTTATTGTATCAGCATATATTTATATTTTTATGTTATGATGTGCGACGAGGAAACTACGAAGCAAGCTAATTATAAGTGGGAATATGAATATATAGATGCAAATTTCAATCTATTTCGATAAATTATCCAGAAATATGAAACCAAATTGAGTACTATTAATTTATTTGAGCATATTTTAACCTGATTAAAGAGTACTCCAAATCCAATTAAAGCATATTGGATAGATTTGGGAATTAAAAAATAAAAAATGATATGATATTCATACATTTCATCCATTTCAAACTCAACTTTGATTAATTATTCATAAAATCATTTAAAAGATACTCGAATCTCAATTTTTTTTTTGTCATTATCACCAAAATCTGAAAAAAAAAAAAAAGTTCATGTTTGCTGTTGTTTTTGTTTTCATGCTCCAATTCTTTTAATTTTATGATAAAATTATGAGGTTATTTATCAAGGAATGATCACATTATTCATTTTGCAATTTTTTTGCTTTGATAATGTCTACATTATATGCTCCAAAACTGACATAAATAGTGCACTTATATCTTTGGGTGATTCTCTTTGCTGCAGCAGAAGTTTCATTTTGCTGCAGCAATTCAATACATGTGTTATCATTGCCCTTTACTGCACATATATTGTATGCAAATACATTTTTCTATACTTGGGAAATAATCACCTTCAATTTCATACCCAAAAACAAAAAAAAAATTATGGAAAAAGGAAGATGACCCTCACACAATCCACAAAATTTACATTGTTTTACTTGCCCATAATTAAAGGTGGCTTTTGGGCAAGTCAAAAGATATTAAATTCATCTCAACTGTCACCAAACCAAGACTGTATGATATGTAGTTGCATGTAGCATACCCCTCAAGCAAAGCATCCAAAGACACTTTGACAGATGCACCAAACATCACTGGACTTCTTGTTTGCTCAAAGCTGCAACATAGTATGTAATCTTGCTTTGCAGTCCACATCTCCTCCCAGTGTTATCCATGAGCCAATCATTTGTCATTGTAGCAAACAGGTAAAGATAACTTTTGGACAAGTTAAAAGAGTATAAATTTATCTCCAGCTGTGTCACCAGAAGAATGCTGAAAGATGTATACTTACTTGCATGTAGCATTCTCCTCAAGCAAAGCATCCAAAGACACTTTCACAGATGAACCTAACATCATTGGAGTTGTTGTTTGCTCAAAGCTGCAACATTGTGTGTAACCTTGCTTTGCAAACCACCTCTCTGCCAATGTTAACCATAAACCAATCATTCGTCGTAGATAGGTTTTGGACAAGTCAAAAGATATCAAGTTTACCGAATGAATGCTGAAAGATGTATACTTGCATGTAGCATTGTCCTCAAGCAAAGCATCCAAAGACACCTGCTTTTGACACATTCACCAAACATCAGCAGACTTCTGCAAGAGAGTCTGGAAGCTTGATTTCTGAATGGTAACCACATTTCTGCTGGTGCCAACCATTCCATGCTCAGGCAGCATGGCAGGGAACTTCCAGCTTGCACAAAGCTGCAAAAGAGTGTGTCAGCTTGCTTTCTGCATGCCGGCCACATCTCCACAGCTGCTAACCATGAAGCAATCACCTGAGCTGATGATATCTCTGGGCAACCATGTTGAAGCATCATGGCATGGCACTGACAGTGGGCAAAACTGGTGACATGACTTCTCTAAGGCAGAGAGTTGTTGCCCATTCTGCACCAGTCTGACAGCAGCCTTTCAGTGAGGCAATCTGTCTCTTAGGTGGTGTGCGACTTTGAAGGACTGGAGATGGAGTACAAGAAATTCATGCAAGAAGGAGATGAGGACCACAACCTGTTGCTGCTCACTCTTTGGCTTGGATTTGAAGACAGGCAAATCCATGGACTGCAGCACTTTATTATGACAGAACATGAGATACATTCTACCAATACCAGTGGGTTAGAAGTGCATGTGATGTCACTTGCACTTTTTGCTTACAAGCTCACTGCTCTTTGCTCTTCCTTGCAGTATCACATATGAAGTCCACTGCTGTCCCAAATCTACCAAACGTTGCACATTGGGAGCCTACCATGGATTATGCCATTGCTTGTCTCAATCACTGGATAATAAGATTACAAGTATCTCTCTTGCTACTGTATCATTACAAGCCATAATATAGAGTTTTCTTTGACATAAAGTCCCTTGTACACAACTTTTTGTCTTGTGTTACATGGCCCATGTAATCTTCAAGAATGGTGCAACACAAGACAAAAGATGTGTAAGAGTGACTTTAAATGGAGACAAATGCATATAATATATATATATATATATATACTGACTTGTCAGATAAAATAGTACTGCACAGAAGCTAGCACTTTAATTCTATCACTTTGCTGGGGGCTTCCTCCAAGTACTGAACAAGTGATTCAGAACACCTAATTGGAGTTGGTGGATTTCATCTGGGACACATTAGGGTGAGCTGATGATGATGATAAAAATAAGTAAGATGGTGACAAGATTAAGACTAAATTGGGTCATCCATGAATCCAAATCTAACTATATAGTAATCTAAACCTGCCTCCATCACTATTCTATTATCTATACTCATTGCAAAAGTAATTTATAGAAACAATGTATAGGTTTAGACAGGCCATGATATCCATGCCCTGCATTCATGTCGATATGTCAATGTCCACATCAGCATACGAACATACATTAAAGTCAGTACCCATATTGATGCTCAGGCTGTCTCTATGTTAGCTGTCAGCATATTAGATGAGTGTCTTTGATGAGAAAAGAATCACTCCTTTCTCTTTCAAAAATGTTAAGTCCTACCGACACCTTTCTTCCTCATAATAGTAGGATATCCATCAATATTCAGATTCGAATTATTGACAAATATCTCAATAAAATCAATGGGTGACAGAGACACCTATCTCAAGCTGAAGGAGCCACTTCTATCAACTCTATGCTTAACTCTACACCTTTGCACTCCATTGTTAGCTACTGGTCTACTGTCAAGTTTGCCAATACCATATCAAAGTATAACTATTGCTTCCTTCATCATTTATACTATCGCTACTTCCCTTTGGTTCATTTAGAAGTATAGAAATGAAACCAAAGGTCACCAAATCCCTTCCGATGATTACCAATCTCAGCTGCCTCAGGACACATCTTCTTCTCCTCCAACCTCTTCTATATATGAACTCCTTTGAGGAAAGCACTAACGTAGGCACTGCGATGCTGCGTTGTCGACCAGTAGGGATAAACTGTGTTCGAGGGCTCCAATGTCCACCAAACAACGTACACTCTTCGAGTCCAATCTAAGCCATTTGTGATGGGCTATGAAATGCTTCTCAACTGAACCTATCCGGCATTGTCATCAAGTCTGACTGTCCTGAAGCCATTCTCATTTCTTGGCATCTGAGGAACACTCGCTCTGATGTCTTTAATCTGTATGTTAGGATCAATGTCTTGTATTTTGAACATGTCAATAGGTTATTACACACTATTGCTCATAGCCTTGTCGACCAAGCAAGACATTTTTCTTCTCCTCGAATCTCCGAGGGGAGTTGTGTGTTCTTGTTTGTGTATCATGTTTATATGACAATCATCTCTTCCAAACTTTTCAAAGTATGATTCTTGTTTGGATGACTATCTTTGGACCAAATTAAACCTAGATAACAAAACAAAAGACCCTAATAGATTGGATATAAATAATATTCTACTAGCATAAAAAAAAGATAATTGAAATAGTTAATTGTATCCTACTTAAATTCAAAATACAAATGTCATTAAATTTGTTAACTCTCACTAGGATAACTTTTTTTTTCACTAGTAGGCATATGAAATTTAATTAACGGATATCTTAATCTAGTTTAATTAAATTATATATTTATATATTATCATAAAGATTGTAGGGCGAACTTCTGAAAAAAAAAATATTACTTTTAAAAATTTTTCACACTTCTACCTTGAAAGAAAATTTAAAACAACACTCTTTTTAAAAATAACTATTTTATCCCTTTGCCCCATCTTCGCCCAGCTTAGTTCATTTGCCATCGCCTCCAACTTCCCTTTTGCTCGAACCCATAATCCTATGATGATAGTGCTTGCCCCGGAGCCAATGTGTTATGACCTCGCATGTTATGAAGGGGACGATAGCTCTCGCATTAAGGCTGCAATGAAGGGACCAACCAACCTCGTATTGAGTAAGGGGTGACTAACCCTTGTGCGAAGGCTATAAGCGGGCATGGGAAAAGGGACTGTAGATAGTGACGAACCCTTGCACGAAGGCTACAAAAGGTGATGAGATGATAAAAATAGTGATTTCTATGGAATAAAATGATTAATAACTAGTTTAAACCATTAGAAAATGACATAAATAGATTAATAACTATAACATATCTTTCTTGATTTAAATCAACTTTAATAACCATGTAAGAGTTTGAAATGGGGTTTAGGCAGACTAGTAACTATTATTGAGGCATATTTATATTTAGGTGAAATTGACTATTCCTACCTATTATAAATCAATCAAATCGATTTCTTAGAAATATTATAAATAATTATTATAGTATTTCAACATCCGTTGTAGTCTAGTTGGTTAGGATACTCGGCTCTCACCCGAGAGACCCGGGTTCGAGTCCCGGCAACGGAATTAATTTTTATTTGAATTATGTTTTCCCTATAATATATTCGTTTCACGGCCTCGACTCTTGGTTAGCCAACTAGTTGGGTCGATTCCGGTTTGAATTGCATCGACCGTGGTCCGCTTGGACTCAATTGTCGGGCCGATTCCGGTTTGACCTCGTCCCTTGTAATCCCTTATCACAAATTTCGGTCTGCTTACGCATTTATTGGGTCGATTCCGGTTTGAAGTGACTCGATCCTGGTCCGGTTGCTCAATGTTGGGTCTATTCCGGTTTGAATTAGCTTGATGCCGATTCCAGTTGATCAATGTTGTGATCAACATTGATCAACTAAGTCAACAGATAAATCTCATCCGTTCGCTACCCTAATTGCGAGGCTTCCCATTCCAGCCCGGATCGATGTCTCATGATGTGTGGTAAACTAACCGAAGAAGTAACGGAACCCATAAACCCCAGTTAATTTCCGATCATGATCGGATGGTAGTAGCAGAATCCACAAACCGCCCAAGTGACTCAGGAATCGTGATCGGATGGTACAATCACCGCCTTCTCCCTTCGGTTCGAATCTGATCAATTCATGAATCATCCCCGATTAATTTATGAGTCATGATCGGGTGGTGAAGTTACCGCAGGAGTAGGAGAGTCACAATCCACGATTAAAGGCTTCTAATTTGGTCTTAAGTTTACCTCAGCATTCTTATGGCCTTCTCCCTTCGGTTCGCACCAAAAAACCTCGCCCGAGCTCCCGTGTTCCGCTGCCCTTCCGCCACCCCAGCTGCCGTCTCCGCCCGCTTCTCGATGGCGGCTCCGCCACTGCGGGTGGGCGTGGCCCAGATGACCTCCACCAACGACCTCGAAGCCAATTACAACACTTGCTCTCGTCTCGTCAAGGCAACCCCCCTTTGCCGCCCTCTATATATCTCCATACTCTCTTCGGACCTAAGTTCTCCGTTTTTACTCTTTAGAATCCGATTCTTATGTTGGATGTTGGTGATGCTACTAGAAAAAACTTCATCTTGACTGTTCTGATGGGGTAGATTGTCTAGTGACCGGAAACCCTAAAGGTTTCACGTTGTTGATGTTCTAGCTTGTGTAAGAGGTCCAGGTTTTGAATTAATGAAAGGTGCTTGCCATGTTAATGTTGTTTCTTTTAGGAATTTGCATCTAAGCTTCGGTTTGATTGGAAATCAGTGAACGGCTTTACTGAGGAAGTTCGTTTATAAGTTTGTTGACTGTCTTTCTCTGTGTGCTTTTTGGGTTATCTGATTGGATTCTTTCAGCCTTTACCAAAGTTTATTGGGAGGAAGTTCCTGAATGAAGTCTGAAAAATATAGGTCTCTGATATTTTATTGACATGATTTCTTAAGTTGGCTTCAGAAAGTTTTGCTGAGCCCTAATTATTATCCGACACCCAGACTGATATCTGGACTTGTTGATTGAAAATATGAAATACTGTGTTTTGACACAAGTATTTTATTCACCTGTGTTTTATCCAAATCATATAATTGAATGAACCATAATATGGGCCTGTAGTAGCGAGATGCTAGTTGGTGACCTGCAAGGCACATATTTTGGCATGTCCTGGAGCAAAAAATACCAGTTATGCGGCAGCAATTATGTGGGTCATAGGTTTTTGATACATGGTAATGCAGGTCGCATGGCTTCATTATAATTCTATAGTGCTTCCACCCTCACTTTCAGTGCCACTCCCATTTTCCTTGGGTAGCATGACTGTTATACAGACAGTGTGATTGTTTTCCATTGACATTTTTATGCCAGTATCAGGTTGCTTCTTTTGATACTAACCATTGTTAACGTTCTGCATCAATGTCACAGGTTCACAGCTCAAGTTCATTAACTCCATGATGTCTATTTTTCCATCATTTTAGGATGTTAGTGAGGCAAAATAAAACAAATTTAAGAGTGCAAAATGGCATTTGTGATAATTGATAGTGAGCAACTCGCTTATAGGACATCTATGATCATTTAGTGCTTTGAGAACTAGGACAATCTGAATGAGGAAATCAAAGGTTTGTTGAAATTGGTTGTAAGAACAACACAGTCTATGAGAACTAAGATGGCCTGAGGGAGGAAAATATACATGGCATGAGTTGTAAGAACCACAAAGTCTAAGTCAGATTTGGAATGGGTCGGGTTGAGATGAGATGATGGTATGGGCATAAAGGATTGTCCCAAACCTAACCTGACTAGCCAGCATGTTTTGGTTATCAACCTGGAATTGAACAATGCAACTGGTGTGTCTGCTTGTGTCAGGTCGGAAAATATTGGGTCATGTCGGATGGTAGGTGACGATATTGTTTTTACAATGTTTCTCAAAAAAAGAAAAATCAGGGTTAGATCATGTTAAAAGATCTCTTGACCATTGTGATCAGTGGGTCATCTAAACAGGTTGAATCATGCCAACCAAATGGCTTTGGCTCAAGATAATTATCCTAAGTCAAAATCAGTGATGAGTGCGACAAAATTACTGATCAAAAAAGAAATCTATGACTCAAATTAAATGGATTTTTGCTATCCCAAAGACTGGTTCTTGTAATCAATCCTTTAATTTTGGCCTTCATATGCATGCAGGATGGTTGCTCTGTCTCAAGGTTATAAATTGTATCTAAAGAGTTGTTGAACTGGGACAATCGCATATGCTATTTTTGGTTTTCTAAATATAATTTTATATTTTATTTCCCATGTCATTTTTTGGTTTTGTTAAAATTTCACTGCATTGCTCAAATAGGAGTATGTGGGAGTTATTGCCCACTTGCTCATATTTTATGTCTTTATGTTGCAGTATCCATAGCAAAAATTCATGTGCTTCAATTCTAACATGTGATAAATTGCAAATGGTATATAGGAGGCTGCTGCTGCTGGAGTGAATTTGCTTTGTCTTCCTGAGAGCTTTTCCTTTGTAGCTGCCAAGGATGGAGAGTCTCTTAAAATAGCTCAACCTTTAGATGGGCCAATAATGCAGAGATACTCCTCACTTGCACGGTGAAATGCTAGTTGTTTTTCACATGTCTCTTTGTTGATTTTTTCACCAAATGATAGCCACCTTATGAATAACCAATTTGTTTTCTCAGACAAACACCTGCTGGTGATAAAATTGCTATATCTAAATTGTTTAACTTTGGTAAACCTACAAAGATAGTTAATTTGAGCAGATCTATTTTTCATGCTTGCAATTAAGAGGCCTCAAATTCACTGAACATGAGACCTATTTGCTTTATCTTGAGTTTTAAATTTATTGCAATATGGCTAAGGTTTCTATTTGATCTTTCTTTGATGCTGGGCATTGATTAGGAAGCTATTGAGCGACAAAATGATATGATTCAGGTTATCTATCTAAGAAGTATATCTAATATCTGAAACTTAACAGAGGGTTTGACACCCCACATGAAATGAGCAAAGAGAGGGTAAAATAAAAAAGAAAAAGAAAAAGAAAGAAGACAAATAATGGAGTTGGGGTATCTAAACATTCTTTGTCCTTTGTATTTCATGAAAATTAAAATTTTGTTTTAATTTATACCACCAAATTAGCTTAAAAAAGTTTCTAACATAGTAAAATTTTACTCTATTATGTGTAAAAAATATTTAAAATATTAATATATCAAAACAATGGACAATGTTACTTATGGCTTATATTATTTTTAACATTTGAATGCTGCCACTTGGACTTCTTTCCACTGTTTCCCATATATAGATTTAAAACAACAACCATGCGAAACACCTGGACCTGTATCCATATACCAGAGTCCCAATAAAATAGAATCAGTGGTTTATGCACATGAATGTTTATGTATCGGTATTTTCATATTTAGATGTATCTTATGAAGTTCATGCATGTCTTCACTGGATTTTTTGTATATTTATATCTACCTCCATGTTCATTTCTGCATGGATTTATGTGCAAAGGTAGCTGCCTTCATTATGCATTTTTAGCATTTCTATGGTGCCTATTTGCGTAAAATAGGATTTGTAATATACTTTTATGAGTAAGTACTTATCTGTTTCATCCTGATGGAGATACTTTTTTTGCTACTCCCAAAATGTTAGTTGCCTATTCATACACATGGTCGTTGTTGGTAGTCTCTGTTGATATGTGGGTGCCTGCTAGTTAACTATACAAATAAAACTAAAGCTTTATATTAAATTTTCACTACTTTGCCTAACGAATTTGTGATTTGTCCATGTGTCTGGCTGCTAAAAATTTGGAATCATTTTATCTGGTATCTCTGTAGTTTGTGAATAGATGATCTGATATGCATATAGCCAAGAGTTTTCCCATTATGGAACTGTGTTCTCAAAAGTAGTAATAGTTTAGATGCATTTCAGCTGATATCTACCATATTTTACCCTTGGGATCGTGATATTTTCTTCCATGAGCGTCCTCCAAGGATCTTTTCAGCCATGCTTATTTTCTACTCAGCATAATTGATGTTCATTAACCATTCAATCAGTTGTATAAATATAATATTTCAATAGATATTTTGTTCTTTTCCCTCTTGATTCTATCTTTTCTTGTTGTCTTGAATTTTAAAGCTTGAAAAGGGTTGTGCTTTAGCCTGATTGTCTTGATGGATGCAACAGAGAATCAAATATTTGGCTGTCACTTGGAGGATTTCAAGAGAAAGGACCTGATGATTCCCATCTGTATAACACCCATGTTTTGCTTGATTCTTCTGGAAATATCAGAAAAACATACCGTAAAATACACTTGTAAGATCTGATTGCTTCATGGTATGCTTTTTTCATTACAGTAGTAGCATTGGCTGTTGGAAAATGTCTTTATTTTCAGTTTGATAGTGAAAAATTAAACAGTTACTTCACTATGATTTGTAATTCTCTTGAATTGAAGTTGCAAAACTTTACATTTCCTGGGTCTAATCTCTTAGTGGTGACTTGTTGCTCGCCTACTTATAAGATAATGAAATCTGACTGCTGACTTCATTTTTATCATCTTGAGGTTTGATGTGGATGTCCCTGGCAGTATGGTATACAAGGAGAGTGATTCCACAGCTGCAGGTTTGAACTTTGACAACTCAACACTTCTGTAGTTGTGGTGGATAGCCATTTTACATATAGATACAGTGACTTACCTGGGTGTGGTCATCGTGTGATCAAGAAGGCCCAGGGTCAGGGCCTGCAACCTCCATTGCATGTGGGAGGGGTGTTGGTTTTCCATCTCTCCAAGTAGGAGAATGGATGTCATAATTTGTGATAGTGGGGGTACGCATTCATGCAGTCCCTATTTAAAATAAATAAATAAATAAAAATACAGATCCCATTTAAAATAAATAAATAGATAAAAATACAGACACAGTGGGACTCATCGAACATTTATATCCTGTACAATCTTAATTTCATATATGGGAGGAGACAGGAGAAAATTTTATTTGCCCATCCCAAGAAACAAAGCTGATGCAACCGCCATCTCTGTCCAAATACCAAAAGCCCCCTTGATATTTAAAGCTCATAGTGTATCACAAGCTTATTACAGAGGATGTTGCGATTGGTGGGTAGCAATGGTTGATGAATCGTTATCTAAGCTTCTCTTGATTATAAATAGAGGAGGATATTGTTGAGAGGATCAATTAAAGGGGGGAGGATGTGGATAAGGTAGAGAACAAGAATAGCTGGAAGATGGATGAAGATGAAGATGAGGTCGACACCATGGGTAATATCTAGAGGTGTCCTTGATGTCAATGGTTAATATGCCATATCGTGAAACTTGGACCTTCTCTTTTTTTCTTTCCTTGTATCATTTATTGACCATAACTTTTGAGGATGCTTGCTATTGAAGATGCTTGTGCAAAAACAATTTTGACTTAATGACATAACACAACAAGATACCTAAATAGGAGATATACTTGATATCCTTCGTCATCTCTATTACTTTGTTCATCTAGCTATACCAATTTGAACTATCAACTTTTCAAGATAATTGCATTTGTTTTCTAGGACTAGAGAAAACATGTGATGTTTATGTTTGTTTTCAGGCAAACCTAAATGTCTAAATTGAAGCTTTATACCTCTAGTATGGTTAATTTCTTCATTAATCCTTAATTTTCTTGGTGATCTATACTGACATTCTAATTACCAGGTGAATCTATTGTAGTGGCGGAGAGCCCTGTTGGGCTCCTTGGTCTTACTGTCTGTTATGACTTGAGATTTCCAGAGCTTTATCAACAGCTGCGTTTTCAACACCATGCACAGGTTTTTGTTGTAATGTTAGGATACAGGAGTTCTTTCATGGATTTTTATTTCTATTAAGTACATAAATCCTGAAAATCTCCAATTTTTTTTTCTGATAATTGTCTGCAAAGATTCTGTTGGTGCCATCAGCTTTCACAAAGGTAACAGGGGAGGCACATTGGGAAATTCTTCTTCGGGCGCGGGCTATTGAGACGCAATGCTATGTACGTATGTGATATTTCTTATATATTATTTCCTTTTCTAATTTGTTTTATAAGAAGAGACACAAGGGTAGATTCTTCATTGACAGCCTAGATGGATATATCTAATAAAAAGACTATGGAGACAAAGTGAACTCATAAACACAGTTCCCAATTGCTGAACTTCATTTGAGTTTCCCAACAGACAATCAACAGCCTCCTATTCTATAACCAGAAGTTAGTCCTATATCGTTGTTCTTAAAAGATGTATTTATTGTTAAGGCTTTGATTACATCAAGAAACACTAGTTGCTCTTATCTATGGTTTTAGCATCCAAAGTTCACATTGGTAGGGACTACCTACATTTGATTGTCTTTGGTACCTCTTTTATAGGTTGTTGCTGCGGCTCAAGCTGGAAGACACGGTGAGAAGAGAGAAAGTTATGGTGATTCTCTAATTATTGATCCATGGGGAGTAGTTATAGCTCGACTTCCAGGTAACACTGAGTATTCTATATTTGCAAACTTGTCAGAATTATGTAATTAATAAGAAAACAACATCATTGTTTATAGCTGTCAGGTGTTATCCACAATGATCGCTTCATGCACCCAGGATCTGTTTAATCAGTTATGCTAATCAATAAGAAAAGGATGTGTGGAGGCAATTATTAAGCATTTGATAGTTAGCTATTTGTAGTAACTCTAAACAGTTTAATGCAGATTTCAAGTTTGAACAGCAGTGGACGAATTTTCATCTTTTGAGATGACAACCTGCTCTCAGGCACTTCAAATATAAAGTTCTTTTTCTTTTTAATCTGGATATTGAGCTTCATTACTCATGGCAACTGCAGAGCATGCCTGTGTGGCTAGGAACAATAACATTGAGGGTAACATGAAATGCAAACCATCATTTAAAGGCTATGGATGGCAAAAATTGTCATGTCATGGCATGAGGACATCATGCTGATACCTTTTGAACATGTATAATTCAGTGTCATTCCTCTAAACTAGCCAGCACATCTAAAATGTTGGTCTACTCATGTCAGTACGTTTAGTACAAGGCTACTCATGTATAATAAGTGTGACTGCCTTTCTCGCATTCTATTGTACATTTTGATCTGTTTTAGTGCTCAATAATAGTCCTTGATGCTCAACTTTTCTATACTTAGTGTGTGCTTTGTCAAAAGTGTGCATTTTAGATCTAATGGTCTGAGCTTTTCTACCTTACAGATCGATTGGCAACAGGAGTTGCAGTAGCTGACATCGACCTCTCGAGGATTGATTCTGTTCGAAGGAGGATGCCAATCGCCCAAGTAAATTTCTGTGTTATTTTAAATATTCAAAATACAGATTATTTTAAAGCCTGTTCGCCAGACTAAACTGTGTCTTTCCCCCATCTTTTTGCAGCATCAGAGGATAGGCAGTTGCTTAAAAACCCAATCTGTATGAATTGCATTGGATTATTGCATTGTAGCCATGTATTTATTTATACATGGAATTACCATGACAAGTTTAAACTCTCCTAAATGTTTTAGGAGGCATAAAATGCCATTGTCACCTAAATATGGAGGGGAATAATGCAACTTTTCCATGAATCAAGAATGTGAAAATGGTGATATGCATATTTGCGCAATTTTGCGATTTTTCTCTATGAATAAGTTGCCTTTTGTTAGTGGAAAAAAATGAGCCTAGACATTGTCTTTTTTGTATTTTTTATTTGTTTCTTACAATCTGTTCCCTTGATGCTAATTTTCTTCTGCTATTATTATTTTTCCATAGCTTGAGAAGGTAAGGCTGAAATCAATTTCCATCCTTGGCGTATATTTTGTATGTAATTTGTATTTGAATCAGATGCATATATCTATGAAACAAAGGAGCAAACATATATGAAGCATGAACACATTCGCATTGTCTAACATCTCATCCGTCCATTTTATGTGAAATGCGGGGCCTGCATGAACGGACGGTCCTGATGGAGAAATTGGAGGGAGATTCGGCCCGTCGTAAGATTATACCCAACTCAGAGGAAACGTCAGATAATTCAGCCAGTGGTTGTATGCCACGCGTTATGTTCCATTCGTCTTCGCCTCTCCCCTCTGATGGAATCTCTCGGCGAAACGCCCAATCACACTTTCCACGGGCTAAAAGATCATTCTGCCCTTATGACCCTTCACAAATAGCGGTCCAACTGAGGATGTTAAAGTAATTTCGCAGTACACATTCCATTTCACGTTTCCCGCGCATGACCGCGGAGATTCCACTTACCACGTCGCGAAAGACACGCATCAGCACCGTCCAATCTTAGTCGAATTGTGACCGTACATCTCGCACCATCCGACGGCCGTAAGTGAGCTACTAGAACCTTCTCTCCCTCGCTTTAAAAGAACCGCGGGGGGATGGTGGGTGTTGTTGCTGTCGCCGTGTCTCGCCCCATTAACTTGCTCCGTTGCAGTCGTCCTGTCTTCCATGGGGAAGTCGTACCCAGCGGTGAGCGAGGAGTATCAGAAGGCGGTGGAGAAGGCCAAGAGGAAGCTCCGCGGCCTCATCGCTGTCAAGAACTGCTCACCGTTGATGCTCCGCCTCGCGTAAGTGCTCCTCGTCCTGCTTCATTTTCATTTTTTCTAGGTGGTCTGGTGACGGACGGCGGCGACTGGGGGGGTTGGTTCCAGGTGGCACTCAGCGGGGACGTACGATGTCGTGTCGAAGACCAGCGGGCCGTTCGGGACCATGAGTTTCCCAACGGAGCTCGCCCACGGCGCCAATAACGGCCTCGACATCTCCGTCCGACTCCTGGAGACCATCAAGAAGCAGTTCCCCATCTTGACCTACGCTGACTTCTACCAGGTTGGTCCATCATCCTCGGATCTGGCGCTGGTATATGTTCCTGCTCTTTATGTTAGTTTGATGCATGCCTTCTTCTAATCGCAGCTTGCTGGAGTCGTGGCGGTGGAAGGTACTGGAGGACTCGAGGTCCCTTTCCATCCCGGAAGGGAGGTATGCGATCTCGATCTTGCTTTATATTGTACAAAACATTTTTATAACATTAGTGGTTCACTGTTGTTCGGATTTGAGATTAGGATGGGTTGGATGCACGTTCTGACTTGCGATTCGTTTTCTGTAACCAGTTTTTTGGTCGGATTGCGGTAATGATGTCTGTT